AAGAAACTGTGCTTGTCTTTTGGTCATGGACAGGGTGACACAGATGTGGGTAAGACCCGTGGGGAGGTGACAATGGCAGCTTTTATCTTGATTTTGATTTTGCTCTTTTCCTTCCGGGCTTGTCTGGTTGTTTCTGACCCTTTTCTGTGGTTCCCCACTGGAAGATGCTTTAGACTTGTGGCAGGCTTTGGGGCCTTGCTCTGGGCCAATCCCATTTGGATGGAGTTTTACCCATGAGGGGATGGGTAACTTTGGGTGCTTGATTTAGAAACTAGATTCTTTGCCTTTCCTGTATTATTTCCTAGTTGTATTAAAGTTCCTTTCCATTAAAGTCTCATGTTTTGTGTTGATGCGGCAGATGGCAAAACCCATTTAGAATAGGCAGGTTTGTGGGGTTTGGGCTGCCCCTCTCCCTGCCCTGTGACAGTATGAATTCACTTATTCAAAACAAGTTAACTCTCTAAACTCTCTTGTGTACTGTTTCATGTAAGGTGCTGTACTGCACATAGAGATAAATATGACTAAAACAGAGTCTCTACTCACAGATGTCACACTCCTATAGCCTTGAAATTTCTAGGAGGTAGGATGGTATAATGGAAAAGGTATAATGGGATAGTATAATGGAAAAGCATTCAAGTCACATTAATTTCATTAAATGGCCCGCCACCAATTTTCTGTACCTTTCAAGTACATAACTTCCCTGAGTTCATGTTCTTATTACTAAAATGTAGTAACTATAGTTCTGACTGAGGGATTTTGACTCTTCATTAATTGGGATTACACTTAACACAAATAAAACATCTGGAAGCTGGAAGGTACTTGGGAGGATTATCCTGGGCATATAGAAAATTGAGAGTGGAAGATAAAGACAAAAAGTTGGGGTCACATTATGGAAAGTCTTGGTGGTCACAGAGATTTTGGGCTTAATGCGAGGCACTGACAGTTTCTACAAAAGCAGAATCTTTTGGTTAGTCTATGATGACAGCAGTTCACAGGATTAAATGGAATGATAAAAGAATGTCAGCTTTAAAAAGAGCTTTATGTAGGAAGAATTGTAGGAACTTGTATGTAGAAAATAACTTTCCCTTAAAGAAAGTCCATCAACTAACTTTTCAGGAAGGGTAAGCCCAGGATAGCTATCACTGTATTTTTAGACAAAGGAGCTAAGGCAAACAAGGAGAGATTTTGCCCCAAGTCATATAAATTAACATTAACAGCAGACAGAGCATACAAATTCAGGATTCCCTCCTCTAGGTCTGCTACTTGAGACAGCATTTCCTCTCTCTAAAACATTTCTGAAAGATAATTATCAGGATAACAAGTATAAATTTGCAAAAGTATGCTCTTATGTGGAGCATGCAAAATAGGAAGCTGTGCATGCAACTGTAAATTATACAACTGGAGCCTGAAAAAAATGCTGTGGACTTACCTCATCTGTTAACTCAAAAAACATAGCAACATTTTAAATCTCTGTGGAAAGCCTTATTATTAAATCATTTCTGGATGCCTCATGAAAATAGGCATAGCACTTTAGTCACCAACATTTCAAGGGGAAAATAGTTGCAAATATCAATATTCTTCCCTGCAATGATTAATTGTCTAATGGAGTGTAATCTAGGACATGCTCATGCTCTCCCTCTCTCTCCCTCTCTCCCTCTTTCTCTTTCCAAAAGGTTCACTTATCCCTTTGGCTATGTTGCTGATGTGGTGACAGGACATCCCTGAGAACAAAGAAAAAATGGAAATTTCAGATGAGATCAGGCACATTCATGGTGGTATGGCCATAGACCTGGAAATTTCAAAATGTAAGAGAACAAGACAGTAGAGATGCCTTTTTCTTTACAGATCTTTCCATATATATGTATGTATGTGTATATATATATATATATATATATATATATATATATATATTTCCTATAATTTAATCCCTATTTGAAAGAGACTCACTCTTGGGAGAGAATTTCAAACATAAAAAAATATTAATTAAAAGACAAATTATTTTGGTTCTTTCCCAGAAAATGTTCCCTTCTCTCTCATCTTTTGCTAATAATGCACAAGAGCAAATCTTAGAGCTGTTTTGCTCATACAGTTTACTAATACTGGGTTCCATAAAGAAGTTATCTAGCAGGAATAGGAGATATAAACTCAAATCCTGGGTGATCTATTTTGCTGTCTGTGGACAACCAGAAGAAGGGGTAGCTTTATAAATCATACTAGCTTGATTCTAAAGAACATAGAAGTTGGTAGATACAACTACTTTAGAAAGTGTGGCTTCGGAAAGAGATCTCTCTTAGACAAGACAGAAATATGACATTTGTAGAAGAAATACTGAGGATTTCTAGGGCTGTGAAACTGAACTCTACAATAAATAGTAAGTGGTAAAGTGGTTCTGAGTGGTAGGATCGACTAAATTCACAGTGAGAGGTTGCAACACTTAGGTAGCAATGGCAGCTCAAAATAAACAATTCTGTAACTTATCTGCAGCCCTGTATGAAAGGTCACAACTTTACAGATGGACAAAGCATATACTTTGAATTAGACGAACAAAAGTTTAATTCACAGTACTATTTCTAAATGTCAATTTTTGTTTACAAATAAATTTTAGAATTATTCACTTGATGAAAGAATTACTTAATTGATATTCATTGTGACTATATTAATTTTGAAAAACTCTCTACAATGTAAAATATTCCCATTCTAGAAGATTGTATATATATATGTGCATAACGAAGTCTCTTAAATTACACTGAGACATGTTTTTGACATTGATCCTACATATTACTTATTTAATAAATCCATATAAATCTTATATCTTATGTCCTATAATGAACAGAGCATTTTATGGCAATATATTTTCAATAAAACATAGCTATCATAAGAGAAGTTGATTTGTTTCCTAAGTAGACTCTCTAACCAACAAAATTTTACTGCTCCTAAATGTTTATTTATTTTCTTAGGCCATCCATTATGCAATAACAGCTATGAATAATGATAATATGCATAGTTTATTACAATATTTATAATTTAATTCTTTTTCTTAACTCATTTGATAGAACTTCTAAAGCAACAGTGAGAAGCAGCTTCACTGTACTTCTGATGTTAATGTTAATTAAGTGTTTTTAGTGTTCACTATTAAATCTATGGTTGCTGCTCAATTTTATATAGATGTTCTTCATCATGTCATTGAAATACTATATTGCTTGCATTATAGTAATTTTTTTAATCAAGGACACAGGCTAGATGTTATACAATGTCTCTCAAGAATATATAAGGATGATCATATACTTTATCTCCTTCACCTAGCAATGCAATAAATTATATTAATATATTTTTAATTACCAAATCATCCTTGCATTTCTTAAAATAAAACCTACATAATAATGTTAAGTTACTGTCTTAAATATTTTGTAATTGACTTGCTAAAATTTTATTTGTCTTATTTTTTATGCATAACTGTGAGATTAGTTTGTAGTTTTCTTTTTTGTGTTACTTTCATATTGTTCTGGTATGAAGCTAAATTAAATGAACTAATTTTCTGCATGCCAATCCTCCCACTAAGAACTAGGAAAAACTGTAAAAAGCTTAGAGAAAACATACATTAAAAGACACCAGAAGGCTGTGAAGAAATCAACTAAAGCAATGAACACTAAAGGGAATAAAACTTCAGAGAGTGCAGACCTTTTAAAGGTGAGCCAAGGAGCTGAGCTATCTCTGGGGATATTAACCAAACCCAGACATAGGAACAGACTGAACATCTAGGTTTGCCTGAGGCAGAAAGTAGCTACTAGGGTGGGGTAAAAAAAATAGTGTTTGGGGTTTTTTTGTAGTTTCCATGGGGTTTAAGTGCCAAAATTATAGATTTGAGTGTCAGTTTTCTCCTTAAGACAATTTCCAAATTCTAAAGCTACACAGTTGAGGCTGAGGCAAATAAGGGTCTCAGTCAAAACCCCTGAAAAGCCAAGAGAGATTTCCTTCATTCTCACAGCAGTTCAGAGGAAACAAATCACTAGTAAGAGAATCCATGAGAATCTCACAAGAGTTGAAAGATTTGAGGAAGTGATAAATTGACATTGACAATCTCCAACCACTTTTTTCTTGGTGACAAATGATGATCTAAGTACTGTCCTTCACAACATATTTGCAAAATTCTAAAATTGAAGGCATGAAGCTGAAGAGATAAGATTTCTATGAAAACTGGAAATTTCCATCATCTTTTTGGTGTTAAAGAGACAATGGCATGCCAGAATATAATTAAAAACTCTAAATAACCACATCCTTGCACCCAGGGCATACCAACTGTGCACTACAACTGCAGCCCAAGCTTGACTCAGATCTGTTCATGATTGGATTACAGTGATGGAGTTCAAATCAAAATTTACCAGCCCTTCTACCTACTTAGTAAGGAAAAGGTTAACTAATTTTGGTAGAAGACATAACCTGAATTTCTACACATTTTAAACACAGTGTTTAACATCAATCAAACAGTAGTAGAAAGAGACTGTATGATGTAACAGATAACACCAAGGAAAAAAATATCAGGATCAAATCTACCAATACAGGTGTGAAGTACGCACTGGTATCAGTAAATAATGACTTTAAAATTACAGATTAATATGCTCAAGAAAATAAGCAGAAAAACAGACACATTATATTTGGGGTTATAAAAAATTGAATGGAAATTCTAAAACCAAGAGAATATCTAACACCTAAGTTTTCCTCCTATTTCTACGAAGGCATTCACTATGTATTTGAAGTTAGGAGGAATAAAAGTAGACAAGTTATAAAGGACCATTTTCAAAATAAAAATGTCGTCAATGAAAAAATAATGGAAGAGGCCTTTAAATTTTGTTAAGAGATGATGATTACAGTGTGAGCTATTATATTTTATAACTAGCTTCCTATCTAGTTAAAGCAGAAACAAAAAGTGTCTATCATCAAACTAGATTTTAGGGGAACATTTTTTTCTATATGATGAGCAAGTAATAATAACTGTCACTTACAGGAAGGTGTGTGAATACAGCAAAGGTGCTCCGTAGAAAGGCAATGAGGTCTACTAGGTAATCACTAGCTTTGTTGCCCAACTCTCCTGTCATCCAGTCATAGTCAGCTAGCTGTAGAAACTGATCAATCTTCTGGTTTAAGTTGGTATAAATCTCCTCTTCAGCTGCATGTCTGGCATCCTGTAAAACAAGAAACCACAAAAATCATTCAGGATTCCAGTATGAGCAAGTCAAAATTTTATGCTTGGCGATATCTCACATATATCCACAAAGTAACAGAGGTAGGAATATTAAGTAATAGCACAGACTTCATTAATTTTTCTTTTTTTCAGAAGCACTTTGGAGTTTTTTCTATTTTTGTGTCTGAAAGACAACCTATTATTTTGCTTCACCAAATGGAGAAACTGCCTTCACTGCCTAAGTCCAGGACTAGACTAATCATAATCCTCACTCCACCTGTTCAGTTCCGTTCAATGCAAAAACCTAAGAACATACTGGGTTCTGTTCTTTCCTTCATAACCAGTCATTGTGTATTATCAATTCTAACTCCTAATGTCTCTCTCATACCCTCCTTTATATTTTCACCTTTTTAATGTACTTACATACTTTAATAAAGGCATTAACTATGTGTACTTACAGGAACTATTTCTCAATAGACACTCCTGCACTTACGTCTTTGGATTCCATTTTACTAAGAGTTTTCTTTTTATCAACATCATGTTTGAAATTTAGTTTTAAGTAAAAGTTGTGCAGAAAGTGGGCCCTTGCTAGTACTGTTTCCCTCTTTGCCCCCTCTCACTATATCCCCTATTAAGACATCTTGCATTAGTGTGACATACTTGTTACAACTGATAAACCAATAATGATATTTTATTATTAATTAAACTATAGTTTGCATTAGGGTTTACTTTGTGCTGTACAGTTCCATGGATACTGACACACACATAATGTCATGTATTTGCCATTACAGAATCATATAGAATAGTCTCACTACCTTAAAAATCTATGTATTCTTCTTTCCCACATTCAGCCCCCAAATTCTGGCAATCATTCATCTGTTTACATTCTCCATGACTTGGCCTTTTTCAAAATGTCATATACTTGGGATCACATCATTTGTAGTCTTTTCACATAGTTCCTTTATCTAGCAATTTACATGTAAGGTTCTTCCAAGTCTTTCCAAGGCTTGAGAATTCTCATTTTCATCATTGAATGATATTTCACTGTCTGAAATATTTATCCATTCAGCTAACAAAGAACATCCTGCTAGCTTCCAAGTTTTGGCAATTATGAATAAAATTCGTCTAAACATTCATGTGTAAGTTACTGTGTGGGTTAAATCTTAACTCCCTTAAGTAAAGCCATCAAGCATGCTTGGTACATTACATGTAAGCCTATCTATACTTAGACTTTTAAGAAACTGAGAAACTATCTTCTAAAATGGCTGTACCATTTTGCATGAGCAGCAGCAATGAATGAGATTCACTTTTGCTCCAGTGTTCTGGCTTTTAGCTATGGTAATAGCTGTGTAGTGGTATCTTGTTTTAAATTGCAGTTCTCTTACCAATCCTTATTGAAGTGTGTGTTCATATCTTTTACTCATTTTTCTGTTGGGTTGTTTTGCAATTGTTGAGTTTTATCCATTCTTTGCATATTTTGGATATAAATCCTTTCTCAGATACACATCTTGGAAATATTTTCTTCCAGTGTGTTGTTTGTCTTTGCATTATCCTAACAGATTCTACGGCAGGGTTTTTCATTTTAATGATGTACAAATTAATTTTTTCTTTAAAGTATTCTGTTTTTTTGGTGCTGTATCTAAAAAGTCATTGCTAAAATCAAGTTCACTTAGATTTTCCCCTTATATTACCTTCTAGTAATTTTATAGTTCTGTGTTTTACATGTTAATCCATGATCTGTTCTAAATCAATTTTTATGAAAAGTGTAGGATCTGTGTCTGCATTAAGTTTTCTTCTTTTTACTATATGGATGTTCAGTTATTTCAAGGCTATTTGTTGAAAGATTTTCCTTTCTCCATTAATCTGACTTTGCTATTATCGGTAACTAGTTGACCATACAGTAATGCATAGCTTAATAATGGGAATAAGTTCTGAGAAATGTGTGATTTTTTTTGGGGGGGGGTGTATGAGCATCATAGAGTATAATTACAGAAACATAGATGATACAGCCTACTACACACCTAGATTATATATAAGGACCTCTGCCATAGGTATGATCTCTCAATGACTAAAACACTATTACATAGCACATGACTGTATTTTTGTGGGTCTATTTCTGGGCTCTCTGATCTGTTCCCTTGATTTTTTACCTATTCTTTTGTCATTATTATGCAGTCTTGATTACTGTAGCCTTATAACAAGTCTTAAGTCAGGTAGCCTTAGTTCTCCAATGTTGTTCATCACCTTTTATGTTGTATTGACTATTCTGGGTGTTAAGCTTTCCCATATGAACGTTAGAATTAGTTCATTAATATACACTAAATGATTTGCTGATATATGAATTGGTTTTGCATTGAATCTATAGATCAACTGGGAAAAACTGCTGTGATAAAATATTGAGTCTTCCTATCCATGAATATGGAATGTAGCTCGATTTATTTAGATCTTTCTTTTTTTATTTCTTTTCATCAGCTTTACAGGTTTTCCTCATATAGAACTTGTGTGTGTGTGTGCACATATATTAGTTTTCCTTTTTTTGTGTCAATGTAAATAGTATTTTTTTTATTTAAATGCTTGCTAAAAGAAAGCAAATAACTTTTTTTATATTAAACTCTATCCTGAACTTTGCTTTACTCACTTAATATTTCCAGTAATTTTTTGGTTAATTCTTTGACATTTTTACTTAGATGATCATGTCATCCTCAAACAAAATCAGGTTTATTTCTACCTTCCCAATCTATATTTTCTAGTTCTTGAGGAACAACATACTATTTTCCATAACAGCTATACTAATTTACATTCCTACTAATAGTATTACAGGGTCTGTTTTTTCTCCCAAGTCCTTGACAGCATTTGTGATCTGTTGTCTTTGTGATAATAGACACCCTAACAAATGTGAGGTGCTATCTCATTGTGGTTTTGATTTCCATTTTGTGTGTTGCAGGGCACATATTCACGTACCTGTTGCCACCTGTGTATCATCTTTAGAAAAATATCTATGTCCTTTGCCTATTTTTAAATTGGTTTATTTGATTTTTGTATTGTTTTGTGTTTTGCTATTGAGTTGAATGAGTTCCTTGCTTATTTTGGATATTATGCCCCCTATCAGATAGATGATATACAAATATTTCATTGAAAAGTGCCACTGGAATTTTGCAAGGGACTGCATTGAATCTGTGCATAACTTTGGGTGTTATGGACATTTAACAATATTAATTTCTCCAATCCATAAATTCAGACTATTTTTCAATATATCTGTGTCTTCTTCAATTCCTCTTATCTGGGCCTGGCATTTCTTCTTCTGGACCTGTCCGTGTTGATTTGTAGTGCAATTCTCACACTTTTTCTCTATATGCAATTTCCAGAAGAAAGCATGTCCCACAGCATTAAGTAACATCTTAACATTGATGAATTATAAATTTTTCGCTCGAGCTATGATTTGCCCTGTCAATTTACTATCACTATGCAGATGACTACTAAATAGCTCAGGTTTAATATGTCCAAATCTGTTATTCCTTCACTGATCCTGGTCTCTGTGAATAGCAACATTATTCATCCAACTTGTTTACTTCAAATTATCCTTGACTTTACTATAGCACTTATAACCCTATGCCAGTACAGTAGTAAAATCTACCATCTTTACCATCAAAATTATTTCTTACTCATTCCACCCCTACCATTATAGTCAGAACAACCAGTATTTTTTATACACTATTGCAATAGCCTCCAAATTGGATCCTCTTTTCCACTTTTACTGATCTATAATGTATTTACTTATGACAAGGAACCAGTGTTATCCATTAAAACATAAATCATATCATCACCACTACTCTCAATCTTTTAATGAAATTCACATTTCATTTCAGAATAAAATAAAAGTATTTACTGTTGCTTACAAGGCCAGAAATGATCGAAGTCCTGACTGATCTCACCTTTTACCTGTCCTCCCACCAATGACAGACTGCGCTCCTTGCTATACCTTGAAAATACCAGTGCTTTCTATTGTACTATTCTCTCTGGAATGCTTATCTATCAGGAGTTCAAATGATTCCATTTTGCATTTCATTTTTCTTCCTAGGTTTTTTTGTCTAATAACATCTTTCAACCCTCTAGAATACAAACTCTGTAGTCATAAGAATCACTTATTTTGTTGATACCTATAAGTGGGCTGGTATATGTAAATGCTTTACAAAAACTTACATAATCATTCAGGGTTGAATATATTTGATGAAGTATTCTGGTACTTATCATAGTTCTTTATAGAACTTTAAGTCTCTGTCTTCCCTATAGAACATAACTCTAAGTCCAAAAACTAAAAAAATTTTCTCTCTCTTCAAGTCTACCAGATTGTCACCTAGAACACACACAAACTATATTTCCAATGGAGTAAATTAATAAATACCTCATTCTATTCGTAAAAGTGAGGAAATTCTTATGAACAAGGAAACCTAAGAATGCCAGCTTGACTATGTCACAAAGAATGGAAACAAGAGGGAATTCTGCCAGAAAATACCTTGAAGACCTTTTGATCCTTTCTGCCCCTTTTCCAACATAAAGGTTTCCATCTGTAAAGGAAAGTTTTCTGGAAACAGTAGCTTAGGAAAATACACAACATGTAGCTGTTATAATTTCCATGTTTATACCAAGTTCTGGGTTAGTTGGTCTGAAACAGTCTTGGTAAAAATAAACTTTCAGTGTGTTTTAAGCAATCAGTGTTTCCAATAAGCACTGTCAACATGACCTTTAGTGGTCTCCAGAATTTCTCTTTTACTAAGTATTTAACTTGCTGTTCAACCCCTATGGCTTCCTGTCTGCCTTTCATTTTCCCTCAGCAATGTTAATGCTGGAGCAACAACAAAATACACAAGCCACCCTTTGGGAGGATTTCTGACCATAATTTTGGAAAGCATAGAAATAAGAAAATTGAACTGGGTGAAGGAAAGAGTAGCATTATGTGCTTCCTATACACTATCTGATAGACAATTATAAATGAACCTTATATTCTAACTTCCTAACTCTTTATCTTTACATTTTCTTTCCTGAAGAATTTTGGCTTCAATAGTAAATCAAATAGAAATGTATTTTGATAAAATCACTACCTACGCCCCACAATAATGCCAAGATTTAAGAGTAATTATAGTTCCTACTGTCATCCTAAAGCTCTTAAATTTCTTGTCATATTTTCCAAAACTTTGCCAACTGACCATACCTCTGAGGCATACAGCAGGGGAGGAGTTGGTGAGGGTACTAAACAGGGGAAGGAAGAGCACAAGGGACTATGGTGATGGATCATGGGTGTTACAGTGGTGGGAGGAATGTAGGGACTACACCTGAGGGGAGAAACAAAATACTATATAAAAATGAACAGTGATGTAAGAAATTTAAAAAAAAATAAAAAAGTTTTTGTCACTTTTTCATAATCAATTTATTAAATAGCCCCTTTCCTCAATAAAAGAGCATCAATATTAATATAATGAGATATTCTGGAAAAGTTTGAAAGTAATGATACCAACATAATATGAAGTATAATGAATTTCATTTTAAGTAATTTATATGTAATTTGAAACAATCCATAGTAACACCATGAATGTGTAACTCATCTAGCAACTGAACTAATCACATGGGTAAATAATATAGTGATAATTAATAAATATAATACAAAATACAAAAATAGTAAAAATAATAAAGAATGGGGGTTGGACATTTCACTTTTTCTTTTCAGCTCTATTTAAAATAAAATTATAAAATATTTTAAATGTGCATCATGGTGATCTGATATAAATATATAGCAAGAGGATTGCCAGGACTCCTACCATTTAATTATTTAGTACATTTATTACCTCACATATTTATTTATTTGTTTGTTTGTTTGTTTGTTTGTTTGTTTGTTTATTTAGGTGAGGACATTCATGTTCTATTCTCTTAGCAAGCTTCCTTATAAATCACACTAATAATGTATTATAGAAGAAATTATCTGTGCTAGAGAGGACACCCAAGAAGCAGTTTTAAAGTACTGTAGGGATGTCTCACCTTAAAAGTTGTAGTGCCATACAGCTTTGTGGTATGGACTGTCTCTGGTAGCACATTTGTGATATTGGTGATGAATTCTTCCAAGTACTTACAGGATTTCTCCAAGTGTGTTGTATTGATAATAATCTGAACAAGCTAGAAAATAAAAGCAAGGGTAAGAGTCATTTGACTATTCACCCCAGAATGAAAGGCCCAATATGAATCTGTTGGTATAAGAAAAACAAAAGGCATAATGGCATAAGTCATCTTTACAGTACAAAACATCTGTTGAATTATCACTTAGGCATTACTTCTACTTAGTAGCCTTCCCTGATCTCTCAAAACATATTCTATTTTGGGGGCCTCCCTCATGGCGCAGTGGGTTGAGCGCAGCCCTCTGAAGATGTCCATAGCCTCTGCAGCGCCGGTTTGATTCCCAGCCAGCCAGGGAGCAACCCACATGGCAGAGCAGACCTCTCCTGTCCCACCCGCTACTCCCCTCAGTAGTGTATTTCAGTCCTTCTGCCAGTTCTGCTCCCTGCTCTGTCTCTGGTGAATTCTCTCCCCCTCATTCACCTCTGGTCTGTACCCCAGTGCTTGTATGAATAAATAAATCTTAAAAAAAATTCTATTTCCTTCCATTATAGAAGCACTTGTCACTCTACTTTAAATATGTTTTCTGCTGCTTAAAAAGACTAGACTAAGAATAAAACTGCAAATGTTTAGCATAGTACTGACAATAAATAATTACCAAATGAATTAAATTAATGAATTCACACTGAAAGAATAAGAATAATTGAAATGGCAAGAAGTTTCAGAATTAGGCTTGATGAACAGAGAGACACTGGAATAGACTATAGTATATTGATAAACTGCACTAATTTACAGAAGAAAGGATATGATGCTGATGTTAGAGAAACCAGGGGCTAAAATTACAAATTGTTATAATAAAGCCTGTCTCTTCATCTGCAATATGTCAATAAAAATTTCTAACCCACAGTGTTATCATCAGGATTAAATGTACCTTTATTAATACTATTTCCTTTTCTTACAGAAAAAGATCCTTAAAGACAGTATTGGTAAGATAATAAGTCATTTCTCAATTATTTTGAGAGGAGAAAGAGGAAAAATAACTACTACTGTTTACATAGGTGGAAATTTTGTAAAGCACTTCACAATTCATTCTCCTAAATGTCTTCCCAGCAATCTGAACAACTAAATTAAATGAGCAAAATTACCACTTCCATTTTACTATAACAGTAACAAAAATAAAATGAGTTTCTCTAGATGCCATAACCTAAATGGAAGTAGGTCTCAAATTCAAGTTATCCACTTCAAATTATGGACTCATCTAAGAGACTTCTGACAGTGTCTTTTTTTTTAAAGATTTATTTATTTATTTATTTATTTATTTATTTATTTATTTATGCAAGAACTGGGGTACAGGCCAGAGGCGCAGGAGGGTGAGAGGATTCACCAGAGACAGAGCAGGGAACAGAGCAGGCAGACTGACAAAATATACTGCTGAGGGGAACAGCGGGCTAGACACGAGAGGTCTGCCGCGCCATGTGGGACCCTCGCCTGGCCGGCCGGGATCAAACCGGCGCTGCAGAGGCTGCGGGCAGCTTCACAGCATGGTGGTCATCCACCTGTGCCACCAGGGGAGGCCCTGACAGTGTCTTTTAACATAAACATAAGATGGCAGCCCTTGCTTGGAGTAGCTGCTGAAAAATCAGTTTCTCGGTCTGCCATCAGTTAGACCTCTCCATACTTTGACTTTACTGTGTAAACAACAAAAGAAAATGAAAAATTAGTGGTACTTAATTACTTAGTTCAACTCTGAAAACTATTTATAGTCCACATAGTCTAATAAAGGCAAACAGAAAATGTAATGAAACCTTGTTTAGGCCTCTCTGTTCTACATTTTTAACTTTTCATTTTCAATAGACTATGTTGGTTTATGGCAAGGGGGAATTTTTGTGTATAGGCAATGGATGAACTCACATCTTTTAGTCTAACAAGATAGTGAACTGGGAACCAGTGGGTAGATGACACAAAGAGGAAACTGGAACTAAAGATGAAGGTTTTATAATCAAGTGATATTTCAAAACAATGCTAAAACATTAGTATAATACTTGAGTGGGTATCACTGGGACACTATGTCATTCCCTACAACTCAACAGATAAATTCATATTAACAACAGTCCCTTTCCATCCATTCCACAGTTAAAATTTGGAAAGTGAGTTTTGGACAGTTACTATTCCTTATAACATTATCCAAATGTCATTATAACTTTATAACATTATCCAAATGTCTTTTAATTTTAGAGAGCTCTAGGAGAAAATATCCACGAAAATAAGCAATTCATCACCATCTTCTTTTCAATGTGTTTCTCCCTTGGAGGAGGACTAACATTGTTATAATAATTTTAATTGTCTAAATTAAATCACTCCTCTTCCTGAGTGGGAAGGTGGCTACTGGCAAGGTTGTCTTGATGTGGAAGACAGAAAAGTAAGAGAGTTAATTTGAAGAACTGAAGAATTTCTATTTTAAAATTAGCATTACCTTCAGAGAACACATTCTATCTATCAAAAGAAATACTAATAATAAGGAGGAATCATGTCATGTTATTGAAATAAAAAACAGTGGCAGTCAAAGAGAAAATTGTCCTGTTTTACAGGATATTGGCAGTTAAAAAAAATAAAAAGAGGCAGCTTAACTGGGTACAGTAGTAATTTCCCATGACTTTTTAAAGATCTGTCAACACAAAAGATCACCATGAATTACATCAATTGGCTGTCAGTCACTTTTGAAATGTTTCATTGCTGAGCATAGAATAGACTATTAAAACACTCTAGGATTACAGTAGATACCATGTCATTTTCAGAGGGAATATTGTCTGTTAATGAGGTCTAAGTGATCTCTACTCTTGAATGACAGCTAACCAAAATCCTTACAAGGGCATTTACAAATGTAAAGCCAGATGCTTTGGGGATAATTTTGAACTTAAAGATGAAATAAAGCAATTTCAGATATCAACTTCCATCAGAGTTTGAGCTCCTTTGATATTTTTAACCCCTACTTCCCACTCTCTTACAAAAATATATCACTGCAGCAATCCTAACTGTCCTTAATAATGTTTCAAGGACATGAAACTAACAACAGAGTAGATATTGGTTATCTCTTATATAAAGTTCAATGAAAACTGTCCCCAAAAGAAAGCACTATAAAGTAAACAATACCTCTCACAACTAGCTAACAGAAGTCACTTAGGTAAGAAACTACTAAAAAGCAGAATTTTTTTTTCTCTCTCCTTCCCAGTACCAGAGAAAATCTAATCAGGAAGGCACAGAGTGGAAGTCACTTCTCCAACTCTGCTCTAAACACCCCAAGAGAGCCTGAATCATATAGAGCACATAGATGCTGTATTCTTGACAAACTCCACAAAAGAACACCCCTTCATTTTCTTCAGTAACGCAAAACTAAGGCCTAAACTCCACCTCTGGGGTATATGCATCTACTTATATTGTAATTTATTTTTCCCTGTTTGCAAAAGCAGAGAATTTAGTACACTGAAGCTTCAAGAGGACTAATTCAAAGCAAGAAAATAAGAATTAACACTCCTCTTCATACCATCAATACCTCCCAATTGTTAAATTTTCAAGAATATAAATTACTGAATACCACAAAAGTAGTTCTCATTCGCAAAAACAAATTATCCTTAAGAATTAAAGGATTTATCTCATTTCACCCGAGAAAGAGTACAAAAATCTGGGCCTCCCCTGGTGGTACAGTGGTTGAGCACTGGGCTGCAAAGCTGCCCGCAGCCTCTGCAGCACCGGTTTGATCCCCAGCCGCCGATGAGGGTCTCACATGGCACGTAGACCTCTCCTGCTGCGCTCACTGCTCCCCTCAGCAGTGTATTTGGTCAGTCTGCCTGTTCTGTTCCTCTGGCTCTGGTGAATACTCTCACCCTCCCGCACTTCTGACTGTACCCAGTGCTTGTATAAATAAATAAATAAATCTTAAAAAAAAAAATCTTTGTTAACTTCTCATTTCATACCATCACTAGGTAATCATGCAAAATAAATTAATATAGAACTACTTGTTCCAAATTCAAACATCTAGTACAAAATCTGTATTTGACAAGACTTAAGAATAAATGTTTTAACCTAATACTAGCAATATCATTGCTGTTTAAAACAGAGGGTACAGGCAAATGACATGGAGAAGATATATAACACAGGATATAATCATGTAGCCATCAATCTAAATTATACTGAAAACAAAGGGTGAATGCAAAGCATTGATTATTTGGTCAGGTCTCTTATGTTCCCTTATAATCATAAAAATGTAAATACTCAACATGGTATTATTAGTGAGAACAATGAATTTCTTTAACTTTTCTCTAAGAACCTACCTATCTCTTTTCTTTCTTTCTCTTCTCTCATCAGTTAAGAACTACTGTATACCTAGGAGTTGGGATACAGTTGTACACAATTATACACGAGACCGACAAAGTCTTGGCTTCATGGACACTATAGTTCACACATATCCATATAAATACACAAATCATGTCAAGTGATAATACAAACTGGGAATAGAAGGGAGGATAATTAGATTTTTTTCTAAAGATTTATTTATTTATGCATACAAGAGCTGGGGTGCAGGGCAGAGATGTGGGGGGTGAGAGGATTCACCAGAGACAGAATGGGAAGAGAACAGGCAAACTGACTGAAATACACTGCTGAGGGGAGCAATGGACAAGACAGGCGAGGTCTGCTGTGCCATGTGGGTTGCTCCCTGGCCAGCCGGGGATTGAACTCATGCTGCCAAGGCTGCGGATTGCTTCATGGTGTGGTGCTTTAACCGCCTGCGCCACCAGGGAGGCCCCAAGGAGGATAACTAGTTTGAAGGTGATGGTAGTTCTTGACTATTTTGAGACTGAGCAGTTAAGGAAGGCCTCTTTCAGTAAATGATACTTGAGTAAGAACTTACATAACACAAAGGTATAATACTGCTATCATCTATAATATATATTCTTTTTAATCAATTTTATATCTTAATCCTTTCTATCAATATATTCGTCACAAATAAGAAAAATTTCTTTTCAAACTTAACTAATTCTCTAATATTCTGAGATTAATAAACTGGT